AAAAAGAAAAAAAAAAAAAAAAGCAACCCCATACAGAAATAGCTTGATTAGAATTAGAGCAGGAAAATTTGCAAGACAGTCCCTAACAAACAGCCTCCTTACAATCAATCAATCTAACGTCTTTCTGGACCCACTTGGGGCCTTCGGCTCCTCCTGCCACGTCGCTTGCCACTGCTTGTCGTAAAACGTCGTCTCCTCCAACAACTTCTTGAGCGTCTCGACATCCTCATTCTTTCTCACGAGGAGTACGCCTGCCACGGCTACAAACAATAGGGTTTTACAGAAGAAGTTGCCCATTTGGTCAACGAGCCCAACGCCGGTCAAACTATCCACGAAATAGGCCATGAAGAATCCGATCATCGCGGCACGCCCTGCATAAGTATAACAAAAATTTCATGCACATACACAAAATCATCATCAGAAAATTTTTTCATCTATTATATATATCATGTCATTACTTATACTCAATGCAAGCAATTGGTTACAAGAAAACTATTACTTTGAGAAAAAAATATTGCTTGATAATTTTTTTATCGTGTGTTGGATTAGTATTTGCATATGTGTGTATGCATGTATGTGGAGAGAGATGTGCAAATTTACCATTAAGCAGCTCGGCTTCGGGAAGATGAAACCTTTTCATCCATGCCCACCAAGGAACAATGGAGGTGTCGAATATTACGGGGTCTTCATTACTCGATGACTGTGGATTGTCTTCCATCCATTTCCTCCTCTTTACTTCTGCAATCCGTTACACTCACAATGTCTCACCAGTTCTTAACACAAATAAGAATTATAGATAAAATTTCGATGGAGAAAATGGCAAATAGTGACAGATATAAAACATAGTTGGAATTCAATTCAGTTCTACATATAAATTAACCCTTTTTGTTTTTCAATGAATCAATCCATTTCTGATCCTAGGGCGAACGGAACACTGAGTTAAGGCTCAAACATATTTCCTTTGGAAATATAATTAGCAAAATCATTCATTTTCTCTAAAGGTCATCGATTGTCTCTGATGAGAACTTTCTTATTCAGGTACTCACTTCTTTCTAATGAGAATAACTAAGGGTAGCAAATTATTCAATTGGAACGCACTTCGGAACTCATGAGTAGAAACGAAACTAAAAAGAAGAGAAAAATTAAAATAAAATACAAAGTACAAAAACAGCTGCACTTCCTGAGTTATTTAGATCATAAACTGATTTCTGAGTTTCTCATTATCTAGTCTAATCTACATTTGTCTTGGTAAACATTCTAATTCTCAGAAGAAATTATGATAAACAAAAGGCAACTCTGCATTTCTATTAGGGGCTGCAAATCGTTCTATCGTATAATGTCGTGCTCGTGCTTCACTAAAGCGTTTTCGTGTGAATTATTTCTTGTCGTGCTAGCCATTGACACCCCTTTTCACTCTAATTTTATACTGGTCAGCTCATTCCTTTTACAACTTCATCCAATTGCTTATACATAACATGCATTAAGTCATCTTCATCCAAGAACTATATACACTTCGCACCAAGAAAATCGATCGACATCTCAGACTTAACACAATACCAGCTTAAATTTCGAGTAAAATGTTCACTAAATTTCGACCACAGAACACAAACAATTTGGTACCACTTTTCAGCTTTGGACAAGGGATAACAACAATTACCTGCATCAATCACGGAATCCCAATCCGTGCTGCCATTTTTGGCAAACTGTTTCAGGTCCCACGTCCCTCCCACCCATCGCGGGTCTCGGAAGCTGGTCACGGGCTCCGGCAACGGGTCCGAGGCCGACCCGTTCGAGCCAACGGTATCGGCAGCAACCGGAGGAGTCTCCACGGTGGCAGAGACGCCGGAGCCATTGTCGGAGCTCACACACAGCTGAAACTGAAGCTTCTTAGAGGGGCCCAAAGGGAGATGAAGAGGTTTGACGATTGAGTGGGTTTTTCCATGAGAGTGTGAGTGGTGAAGGTAGGTAGCCGGAGCTTTTGAGGAGAAAACGGCGAGGGACATTGTTGCAAAATTTTGGGGGTGAAGAGGATTACAGTTTACCAGCGGAATGAGCGAGGAAGAGGAAGATGATGCCACCGGCGATTTTGGGCCGCAGAAAATTAGTTGGTTCGATTTGATTTAATTTTCACTATTTTATTAAATGCTTTTTCTTAGTTTTTACTTTTTAATCTTGTTATCAAGGTGTCTTCGAGTCACGAAGTCACCGGTCAATTGCTGAATTGAATAATTAATTTTAAAATTTTTTAAAATCATATATATACATATATATTATTTTTATCATATAAATATAGTAAGTTAAACAAATGTTTTGTATTGGAAAAAATGTTGCTTTACTACACTAAAGGATCCTCTCTTTTAACTTTTGTAGAAATGCTCCCCTATTCACGGTGGTCACATGTTAATATGCCCACCGCGTAGGTGGCATCCACTCATTGGTGATGTTAATATGTTTAAAAAAATACATCACCAATGAGTGCATGTCATCTACGCGGTGGGTATATTAATATGTGTCAACGGTGGGTAGGTGAGCATTTCTCTTAACTTTTGATACCTTAGTCATTCACTTAATTAATTTGGATACACTTTGTCTTGTCCTCTATCAGTTTGAGAAATTATTTGAATTTTATTTACCATAAAATCAGGCAGCTATGCTTCCTTAAATGGTGAGTTATTCAATTAAGGTTTATTCATTTCATTTTATCTTGTCTTCCATATAATCATATCCCTAATAAACATTAAATTTGCTTATATAATTTTAAATTAATTACATCAATATATAATATTAATATAAATATTTATTTTTAGATAAAAAAAATAAAATTACTTCTATAATTGTTATAAAAAATAATGACATTATACGACAATAAATTTTGAATAAAATAATATTTGAGTATTATGATGAACCAAAGTATGTAATATTATTATTTTTCTATATTAAAAATAAATATAACTGTTAAACATTATTTATATTAATATAAACAGGTCAGCAGACTAATATATTGTTAAAATAAAGTTTTGAAAAAATGTTTTAAAATACAAAACCCCGTACATCGCACGGAATTCTCACTAGTCTAATGCAATAGAGAGTGAATACAGTTATATCACATTTATGACAAGGTTACAAATTTTACAAATAAGAGTGAAAATTAAATATAATGTTTATTTTTTTTAGGGGAGGCAATTGCTTTTTGACCCTACTTAACGGTTAAACCAACTTAACAGTCGATTGTTGAATGAACATGATATGGGATAACCTTACAAGGTAGACTAAATTCGAGAAGCAACATGACCAAACCGGATGAATCAAGACATTGAACGGATTAAGAACATATTGGGTCGAATAAGCTTCAGGTCGAAGATTCGTCGTCGAAGTCCAAGAACAGGTCGAACTAGGACCCCCAGGCGGCTTGATGGAAGTTCGACATGAATGTATAAAGGGTTGAACGTAGACGGGATGAACAGATTATTCGAGCTCTACACTACAGATGATCTAACTCGCGATAACGATGGTTAGTCGCGTCATTAGACTGTCTAATAAGGAAGACTAAAAGGTAAGAATGAATAATATGAGAATAAGACCCCCACGTGGTAAAGATCACGTGCTAGCTAAGGCTGTACGAGGGGGCAATTCGGGCCGTCGGGACAGTACCATTCTGGCAGTCTTGGATAACAAGGTATCATCTCCCTATGTAAGGGAGTGATGTACTCCCTGCACTACATTACACACTCTCTACATACATTTTCTATAATGCACTTCCTCTTCTACAAGTGATAACTAAAACATCAAAAACTTTTCACCGAAGAACTCCTCAAGTGTGAGAGTTTTTGCAGGTATCCAGGCGTTTAACCGGCCAGGAGTACGAATCAAGCAGAGTTCTAGCCGGTCGGAAGTCTTTTACATACTACCGGAGCACATATTTGAGATACGAACACATTATTAGCCAATTTGATCACAACATTGTTCTTTAGACAAATTCTATAAGGAAATCAGCAAATTTCCCAAAAATGTCAACTGAAATGGTTTTCCCATCTCTAAAAGGAGTCATTCATAAGTAGCAACATTTAATCCATCTATACAAAGAAGAAAAATGGCATGTAGGAAGATCAATCCATTTTAATCCCTTTTCTTATCATCATAAAAATTGCTACCCCCTGGCATGAGGCGAAACTGACATCCAATTCACCAACCAGACTTGTAAAAAAAAAAAAAAGAGAAAGAAAAAAGAAAAAGACAGACAAAAAGTCGGGTCTCAAACCCGACAGTTGAGAAGCAAGCCACTCAGGGATGGCCCAAGTATGGGTACAATGAAGTACTACTTGTGGTGCTTGCTTGTGCACCGAAACTGGAACTCGTGAGGAGTTCAGCCTGCGGGAACAAACCATTTGATGGAACGTCGAGCAGCAAATCCTGTTCACAGTTCTCATCACCAAAATCCGAACAAAATAGGCTTTTTGGACTCAAGAAAGAGCGAGCTTTATCTACTTTCACTTCCTCGTTGTAGCTTGACCTCATCACTATCCTTTTTGGACTTTTAATCATCGTCGCCTTTTGCCCTGATACCAAAAAAAGGGGAGAGGGAGACAGAGAATTAACAAATTATTCCAAGAAAAGGAAACGGAAGGAAGAAAACAAAAGAAATATCAATATCAAGCATAAAGAGTGATTATTTCATTAACAATTTATCAATCAATTCACACTTCACCTGAAAACTTTTGGTGGACCCCATCTCGTGGCCTTGTCACACTAAATGAAGAATCAGTGGCAAAGGCACTTGATTTTGCGGCTTCTGGTTCATCAAAGGCACCTTTACCTTTCGACTCCTGCACGGTTAAGAGGAAAAAAAGAAAAAGAAAAAGAAGATTCAGAATATACTCTAACCCAAGATTACTGCTCTGTTTAATTTGAGATAATTATAACAATGTTCTCGCTAAGTACCTTACAGATTTTATACTGTTCCACCCATTTCGATTTACTCAAATTGCACAAAACAAGTTTCCTCACAACTCTACAATCTTCTTTCGGCAGGCTGGATAAAGTGTTATCAAAGAGTCCATCTGCAAGAAGTTTCTGGAAGGAGGACAAGTTCTCCTTGAACTGTGAGCTGCCAAACATGCTTCTAAGACTGCAATCGAATATGAGTTAGAGAGATGTCAGCTTCTCATAGATTACTGTTCCGAACAGGCACAATAAATTTTACTTTTTTCCGGCTATGCTACAAAATGTTTTCTGGTTTATACGATGAGTTAAGAAAAAAAAAAAAAATGAAAACGAGATCACAATAAAAAATCCACTAGTTATTTCGTAACACGTTGTTAAAAAGCTTGTACTATGTGCAAGCTTTCGTAAGCCAAAGATACGCCAACTTCAACATATATATTCTCGAATCTCGATATTCGATTGTAGTAAGCTGAAGAGTAATGCTTACCTATTTGGAGCTTCTGAAGTGTCAACACAAGGTAAAAGCTTTAGCAATTCTTGTTGTTCATCATTTGTGAAATGACTCACGAACTTGTTGAAATTTACAATTTCCTGCATAAATGCAGCCAACCAGGGATTGTAACTAAGCACAAAAGCCTCAAACTCTTTGTCGAATTAAATTCATTTCAAGTTCAGTGATAAAAAAGGTACGAAATTCAACAACGATGGTTAATTGTGAGGGAATTATATCCAAATAGTTAAGAGCACTGAAAAACATTAGCAACTGAAAGTGTTAATTCAGTGCTGAAACTAAACAACGAATAAATGCTCAAATGTAAGAGCAAGATGAAGTAAAAGAACGTGGACATTAGCTTCCATTTTATTAAAATATCTGCATAGACAACTTTATAAGTCGATGCATCTCTCAAAGTTACTCAAAGAAGTAAAATGTCAAGTGAAAGTGTGTGTTTTATCAACTTACTTGCAAGTCTATGTGACCCAGAGGCGAATTATGATGTGCCAAAATCAGTGTTTTTTCAGGTTGATCCTTGTCTCTGAAATTAAGAAAACACAAACTAATCAATACAAAGTTTCATCAGTCCTTTCAGTATTAATTCTTATTTCAACACGAATGTACCTTTTATTTTGCTCTTTTTTCGTCCCTGTATTAAAAGCAGGCTTCGGAATTTTCTCAATTCCCACAAGACTGGGAAAAGCCACAGGCTGTGTACTCAGAACACGTTTCTTATTATCAATAGAAAGAGAGCTAGCTTCCGATTCCTCCTCTCGAGCGATCATCGAGCTTGGATGCCTGATGAGCACACTCCCATGGCCAATCTCAACCGAGACCATCGGTTTATCACTCTCGAGAAGCAAATCGTCCTCTGAGGTTACAGACAGACATGAAGATTGCTGCTCGTACCATATGGTATACAAATCCTTAGTAAGCTTCTCCACTGGAGATGGCTGCTTTGGACGAGTCACGCATGTCCTTTTTCTCGAGGGCAGTGTCGAATCCCACACGACAGGTTGGGATAAGCCTTTACTCATGCCAAATAAAATTTCCATTTTTTTTAAAACAGTCATTATTTAAAATTCTTCGGCCCAAAACAACAAAAAAAAAAAAAAA